GTTCTGGGAGTCTAGCTAGATGTTGGAGAATCGGCCATAGAGATTTCTGAGTCAGTCAGGCTTTACTAAGGTAGCAATCCGCTACAAAGTCATGCTTATTGATGTAAAAATAGACACATGGGTCAAATTGACTTTGTTAGATATATAATTAAGTCAACCAGCCAACAGTAATGAAAATTTAGGCTGAGATCTTAGCAACACAGGAATCGATCTAGAGGAAGTGAATTTTGGAATATTATGACATTAAAATGTGATTAATGCCTTTTCGCCTTCGGAATTCAAATAAATCAAGACCAACTTCAACTGCTTCTGGAACCTTGATTAGTTGATGTTTAACGATTAAAAGTTCTCAGCCACTCAGCTGCTAATGTCCATTCAAGTAATGTAACATGTATTCAACCACGAATTGCATTTGTCGTGTTAATAAATTTCAACAGAAGCTATGCACGTTATACGTCTACTTCTTCTATATTATTGAGAGTTAATTCATATTGGGATATTATTAAGGATAAGGCAGGTCTTATACACGCAGCAATCCACTACAAATCGTTCACTTCTGATATCCAACTTTCCTTAAATTTTCTTTTATTGATTTCTGACTTCAAGCAACCATGGCCCTACTGTATGTCATATTCGACCACTACCATCTCTCCTTTTTTTGTGCCGTTGTGTCTGTCTGTCGCTTTTACATCTATTATTCATTCTTCTATCCCTCCTCTCGACCTTTCCTTACTTTGATGTTCCTCCTCCCCTCTGTGAAGCCCGAAGTCAACTAAAGGGTTAATGATAACTATCAAAACGCCTGCCATTTGAAATAAATAAATTTAATTTTTGCTGCTTTTGGTAATCCATTTTGTAGCTTAATATTTGAATTCACTCACAGTCTCCCTCCTGTCCCGCCATAGGTAATTCCTATTAAGTGTCAAGGACAATTATTCGGCAGACTTTGCTTCAGCAAATTAACAATCCCAAAGTTTGAACCTATGTCAAATAAAGACTTTGACTTCCAAGAGGCATATTAAGGTTGAATTGATGCCAACGACTTCAATACGTTTTGCTTTATACAAAATAATCTCAGCAATAATCAATTTTCTTCAACCCGATAATAAGGATAGTTTTATTTTAAAGCCCTCTGCCGAAAAAGACGAATTGAAGTTGTACNAATGAAAATTTAGGCTGAGATCTTAGCAACACAGGAATCGATCTAGAGGAAGTGAATTTTGGAATATTATGACATTAAAATGTGATTAATGCCTTTTCGCCTTCGGAATTCAAATAAATCAAGACCAACTTCAACTGCTTCTGGAACCTTGATTAGTTGATGTTTAACGATTAAAAGTTCTCAGCCACTCAGCTGCTAATGTCCATTCAAGTAATGTAACATGTATTCAACCACGAATTGCATTTGTCGTGTTAATAAATTTNTGGGATATTATTAAGGATAAGGCAGGTCTTATACACGCAGCAATCCACTACAAATCGTTCACTTCTGATATCCAACTTTCCTTAAATTTTCTTTTATTGATTTCTGACTTCAAGCAACCATGGCCCTACTGTATGTCATATTCGACCACTACCATCTCTCCTTTTTTTGTGCCGTTGTGTCTGTCTGTCGCTTTTACATCTATTATTCATTCTTCTATCCCTCCTCTCGACCTTTCCTTACTTTGATGTTCCTCCTCCCCTCTGTGAAGCCCGAAGTCAACTAAAGGGTTAATGATAACTATCAAAACGCCTGCCATTTGAAATAAATAAATTTAATTTTTGCTGCTTTTGGTAATCCATTTTGTAGCTTAATATTTGAATTCACTCACAGTCTCCCTCCTGTCCCGCCATAGGTAATTCCTATTAAGTGTCAAGGACAATTATTCGGCAGACTTTGCTTCAGCAAATTAACAATCCCAAAGTTTGAACCTATGTCAAATAAAGACTTTGACTTCCAAGAGGCATATTAAGGTTGAATTGATGCCAACGACTTCAATACGTTTTGCTTTATACAAAATAATCTCAGCAATAATCAATTTTCTTCAACCCGATAATAAGGATAGTTTTATTTTAAAGCCCTCTGCCGAAAAAGACGAATTGAAGTTGTACATATTTCCCACTGTGGGGTGAGCGGTAGACTTGTCTCCACGTGGTGCCCCCTGGCACTTTATTTGATAGGGTTGAAAAATACAAGAAAGGGATTCAAAGGTATGAGAATATTTTTTTTTGACAACAAATCAACATCTAAAGAGAGCTTCAAAATTTTTGAACTTAATGCTACTACAAACATGGCTGCTTTGAAGTAAAAAAGATGGAAGGTTTGAGAGAATAACTTGTTTAAAGGCGATTTTGCTGAAATACTTCGAGGTAAGTAACTATCCCAATAATCCTGACAGAGGAAACACTCTATCGAATTGGGTATTACTAAGCCACGTGTCCTCAAAAAAAACACTCCAACGACCACTTAACCACAAGATTAGTAAAGATGTCTGAGAGAGGGGGTTGGATAAAGTAGGTCTGAAGACGAGAGCTAATAAATGCAATCTCCTTTAATTTGGATAAAATAAAAAAATTTCCTCTTCGATATATGCTGATGAAATAACTAGGGGATTTCTTAATAGGAAAAGACCTTAAAGCCGTGAACTGTTAATACGAAATAGACTTTTCTTTTAACAAAAAATTAGACCTATTTAATGCCAATCCTGTTCACCAACTGTAGTTGTCGTAACTTCACTGCCCATAACTGGTTGCGCATTCTCTTACTTCTTCTGAATTTATTGATAAAATAAAATGTATGTCCTTCGTTTGTTAACACGAATAAATAAACTAAAATGGTGATAGCTGGAGGCAAAAAATAAAATTTTCCCAAACAGGCAACACCGCAAAGTTTTCGTAAAACATTTGAAGTGGGTGCCCTTAAAGAAGAAGTGGACAGGCGCTGTACGTCTTCTTCATACCCGTCATATCTATTTTTCATTGACAGCCCGTTATTCCATAGTAATTTCCTCGATCTATAAGATGTACCTGTGTAAAAGCTTACTTGGACAACACCATCAAAATTATGATGTCGCAACTGTTAATACATATTTGTAATTCCTAAAAAGCTAACTGTTTGGGAATTTTACACTCAAACCAAATAAATAAAGCGGCACTTTAAACATTTTCACATGATGCGTTGTTTAAATTATGATAAACATATACTAGCCAAACTAAGCCAAACAGGAAGTCGTTGAAACCACGTCTATATAAGCTCGCCATTTGTAGCGATATTCAATTGTTGAAGTGTTTCAGAGAAGTATGAAGATCTACCTTCCAATCATTCTCACCGTTTTGGCTCTAGTGGCCGTCGCTCGTGCGTAAGTCAAGAAATTTAGTGGGATTATTTTTTCCTTGCTGTAGTGAAGACGACGACGATAGTAAATTCTCAGCAAAGAATTTGATGAAAGGCGTGTCCTCCGTTCGGAAGTTCTTCAATGAGGATCCAACTGGCCAAACAATGAAAGAAATTGCCTTGAAGGTAGCAGAGCTTGGCTCTCAAGTGAGAAGAAAGATACGGGCTGGATTGAAAGCCTACGTGAAAGCCCTTCTAGCAGAGTGAAAAGCTTACCGAATTACTGTAAGAAATTGGAGCTTCGCCAGATGTTCAGTAGTGCTAAATATATTCCATAGATTTAATAATCCTCGTTTCCTCTTCCCTCCTGTGATGAATGGGTTGGAGGTTTAAGCGGTTAGGGTGATTGCAGAGAGTGGGCTGTTTATTCGTTGGCATATGGAATTGGGAATACCTGTTTCTTAACTACTCAGATCAGAAAAATGCGTGCTTCCTCCTTTCCAAACTCTCATTTAAAAGCATTGACAGCATAGGGGGGGGGGGGGGGGGGTAAAATTGGAAACTGCTACATTTCAGACACTTCTATATGTCACGATCGAATTTACAGAAGTCGGAAAGTTACAGAAATCACAATTGTTGGGTGCTTGAATGAACAAAACAGGCTCCTATAACTTCGTTGAAGGTCGTGAAGGCCTTAAATTTCCTCAAATTTTTATTTACCTGGATACTTGGTGAATAAAGATGACTTTTCACAAAAGTCTTGTCAATAAGGAACGTCTGCTGAAATTAGGAAAAAAACACCAAAAATTATCGTTTTGTTAATCGAAAGCCAATATTTTATGAAAAGAAATGTAATGTTATTGAATTAATATTTTCACCACATTTTATTGACGAAAAAATATGTCCCTTAACGTTGGATCGAAGTGGGTAGATTTATAAAGTAATCCTCTATCCTGAGGTATATAAACAAAAAACTTATTTCGATATACTTTTCGTTTGAGCACTCAACTCTCCTAAAATACCTGAGGACTGCCACTGGTTAAAATAGCGCACACAAGAAGCGGTCGAGATTAGTATTCAGAGATGGTCACCATGGTACCACACCAGATAAAAAGGAAAGGATTAATTCCATCTCAACAATTTAGGACAAGCCATGACCACAAAGAGAAAAGTACCAGCATTTGGGCTTTCAATAGATGAATGACTAGAAGAAGAAATCATGAACCTCTCAGTCAATTCCTCATCAACTGTCGATCTGTGGCAGTACCACACAACCAGAATGAAAGCAGTTCGCACAGTGATCTTTGTGTTATCGATATCTTTGAGGTGGCTTAATGAATTTCTGGAGTAAATTCAACGAAGCGAATTAGGAGTAATGATTTCCGATATTTGCCCCTAATCTCCTCTTTAACATTTTTTATATTTATGTTTGCACATACTGTCTTTTCGAACCCTCAACTTCATTAACATACACTTAAACTCTTTCATGGAGCAGTATATCGAATCTGCATGACAACTCGAATATCTTCAGGTAAATGGCCCATTTTGATGATGAATTTCATGTCTTCAAATATTGTTTGCTACTACTGATTTGTAAGTAGTTCATTCATCTTAAGAATAGAGGTGCCAATTTACCTTCCTTTCAAATCTTATTTACAATATCGAAGTAACTAAGGATTTTATTTAAAATGGAGAAGCAACGAAGTTGTTTGTCGACAAATTTAGAGGAATTGAATAGATTTCGTAAATGACGAATAGGTGTACAAAGAAAGTTGCTAATTTATTTAAATTATTTGTCTTAATGGAGGTGTGCGATAGACTTACCTCCACGTGGTGCACCCTGGGCAACGAATACACTTGCGCCAAAAGAGTCTATTCACAGGCATTCAAACTACCACCACCCCACTGTATGTCATATTCGACTACCACCACAGTTCTCATCTCACCTTTTTCCTACGTTTTTCTACCTTTGTCTTTGAAACACTCTTCTGTTCTCCCCCCCCCCCTCTCTCGACTTTTTCTCACATTGATGTTCCTTCCCCTCTATGAAGCCTGAAGTCAACAAAAGGGTTAATGATAACCATCAAATTACTTGCCATTTGATATAAATAAAATCTTTTTAGATATTTAGTTCATCGAGCAAATCAAGTGCAAATTGTGGCTGTACACTCAATTGATAAATTGATCCATGATAGTACATTAATACGACCAGTATTAATGTAAACATCTCACATGAAAAGAAATGAAAAATTGTAGAAAGAAGGCGAAGAGAGTGGGTCGTCACCATAGTTGTAGAGCGAAATGGCTTATCTTTCATTAAATAATCTTTCAATCATCTCGCCATTTCAACCCAATGGAATGTGAACTCGCGCGTGTTTCCATTTGGCACATTGTAAAGGTCAGTTAAAATGCATTGCATCTGTATGAAGGCCAATGGGAAAACGGATGGGTTACGTGGTGGAGCCAATTGAAATTCATTTTAGAAATGGGGTTCCTCATTGTGTCTAGGGTGTCCAGTTGTTTGGAGTATAGAATGAAAGGTTTCATGAGAATGAAGTGTCGACATTGATGGAATGGAGGAGGAGTCAAGTTTTATTTCTATTTTATTATTATTATGTTAAACCTTTTTCTGCAACGAAAGTAGATCAAATAAAGAATGCCTCATATTGCGTTGGTTATTTCATTGTCAAATTTGCAGTCACACTGATTTTCCTATTTTTTTCTTACTGCAAGTGATAAACGTTTCACTTGAACTAGATAGTCAAAAATGCTATTGTACATTCGTATTAGTAGTATTCTATAACTGTGCACCCCTTCAGAATGAAATGTTTTGTGACTATACTCGAAAGAAATCATTAGAGACACCCGAAGTGAGGTGGAATGGTCCAACGGTTGGGGAGTGTGGTAGTAAGAAGGGGGTGGAAGTTGGAAGAAAACCCACATTTAATCACGTGGGTGTGGAGAAAATGATTGTATGGGTGCTATAAAAATGAAGCATTATCACTCATTCCCCACTCTTGTAAGGGGAAAACTGTACTCATTAAACACTTCTCTCGAGAGCGTCCCACTCATATCAGCATCCAGTTGAAGAAAACTGGCGTGGGCAAGTTGAGCATGTCGAAGATTGAAACGATTGCCTTCAAGGTGTGCCTGAGTCAAGGATGCATCGGCCAGTTGGAGAACCGGCTCAATGAGCCCAGAGACAAGCACATCGAGGATCCGAATGCGAACGGCACGCAGAGGATCGAGGAAGAAGAGAAATGTGCGAACCACGAAACTGATGTAGAATGGTTTGTATTCTTCGTCCACTTCGTTTACCTAGTGGAGAGAAGTGAGGCCGAGTGAGCGATTGTAAGGGAGAGTGAAACGCGACAGAGTGCACTGGTGTCACAATAGGCATGTGGCAGAGTAAAACGGGTTCCAGGTGTGTGGTCGAAAAGACAGAAGTGGTTGAACTGACCACTCAAGAATGAGTTGGTTCAGTCAATGATTGCATGGACATTTAGGAGAGTATGACATTTAAGCGATTAGATTCAAACCACAGAGTCGTGATGTTGCCATTTGTTGGTTTAGACTAATATCTCAATAATCGTCACAGTGAATCACTACCAAAAATGTAAACCCTTCACTCCATTACATG